CCACTGGCTGCAGGAATATGGTCTTGTGTACCCATTTGGGTTGTTGGCAGCCTTGTGTGGGGGCAGTGGGGCTCTTTTTATGTTGTTAGCAGATTTTAATCTTTAATCCTATTAAGCCTGCACATTGCTATATTGACAGGCTCACCATAAAGGCTCAGATGTTTTGGCCCTTCTTAAACCTGACAGAAGGGTAAATCTCTATTGCTCACCCCCCCACACACAATTGTAATTTTTGCTTAATCAAATAAACAATAAGGAATAAACAATTGAAGGATAGGACCCATGTCTGTGAAGCTGTATTGTTTTGCTGCATTTTGATGGGTTTCTGCTAGTTTGGTCAAGACACGGATGGTGTGAACTAGAGACACTCCCAGTTGGGTGGGAAGGACCCACCTGAGGCAGAAACTTCCCGTCTTGAGCAGGTTTGAAGGCAGAGACGCTGATGGAGCTTCGTGTGAAGGGGTTGCAAAGCAAGTTCCGCAGACAGTGGACTCTGGGCCAAGAAGGAACGGGATGGAGGCATTAGCCCCCTTGTGTTTGTCTGTAATAAAGGCCAAAAGGAACATGCTGAGCTCGGGGCAGAAGGTCCCAGCAGTGCCCTCCAGATGGCTGAGCACGCTCCACCGTATTCGAACACTGTACCCCAGCATTTTTAATTCTTCCCGCCTCCTCAAAGCTCCACGTCTGGTGTTTTGTTAACCAACTAGCTGTCCTTAATAGGGTCATTATTTTCACAGGGTGTGATCGTTTCTAACCTTTCTTAAAAATTAGAATAAGTCAGGCTGGAGAGATGACTCAGTTGTTAGGAATACTGGCTGCTGAGTGGTGGTGGCACACACCTCTAATCCCGGGGGAGGCAGAGGCTGGTGGGTCTCTGTGAGTTCAAGGCCAGCCTGGTTTACATAGTGAGTTCCAAGACAGCCAGAGCAATAGAGAGAGCTTGTCTCAAAAACAAAAACAAAAAAATAACAATAACAAATGACTTCTTGCTCTTTGAGAGGATCCGAGTTTGGTTGCTTATATCGACCTTTCACTCCAGCTCCATGGGATCCAGTATCCTCCCCTGGCATACGTGGACACCTGCATACATATAGCATGTACAAAGAGAGACATACACACAATACACATTTATTTAGAATAAGTCATGGATTATGGTTGTAGCTCACCAGGAAAGGGCTTGCCTAGAAGGTCCAAGGCCCAGGGTTCGATCTCTCAAATACTACTAAATAAAAAGTCAACATTTACTGTTTAAGAATAAAACATTGTACATACCTTTTGGGAAAATAGAGTCGATTTGAGGGGCGGGAGCATGGCTCAGCAGTTAAGAGCATCTGTTACTCCTGCAGAGGATCCAGGTTCAGTTCCCAGCACCCACGTGGTGGCTCACACACATTTGTAACTCTAGTTCCAGGGGATCTAACACCCTCTTCTGGCCTCCGAGGGCACCAGGCATGTACATGGTACATATAGCATGCATGTAGGCAAAACACCCAGACACATAAAATCAGTCTTAAAACAATACAAAACATATAAGTGTGTGTGACATACACACACACACACACACACACACACACACACACACACACACACATATTGTATCTACATTGTAATAACATTTCTAATACTTTACTTGGTCACAGCGGATGCCATTAACAATGCGGCAGGCTTCGGTTTCAGAGGCTACGACAGGAACGGAGTGGCTCGTTGGGACTTGATTTCCAATCTGAGAATCCAGCAAATAGAGGTTAGTAACTGGTTAAGACATCAGTGACGCGCCAGTTTAAGTGCCACAGTTTGCTTTCCCAGGCTACGGTGTGCTCTCCCGACAGTGGTGCTGACCGGTGTTGACCTTTTCATTTTATTTCTCTGTAGTGGAATAAAGAGTTTATTTGGGCTTACAGAAGGTTAGCGTCCGTGATGATGGAGTGGAGACACCATCCTGAGAGTGAAGTAGGAATGGCGTTTGTCTTAAAACGGTTTCAGTCCGCCTCCAGTGACGTGCTTCCTCAAACGAGACCCCCTCCCAAAACTCCCGCACAGCACCATCACCTGGGAATCGGACAGCCACGGGCATGAGTCTATGGGGGACATTTCTCACACGTGGAGCGATGTTTATTTTTATACAAAGATTCCTGGCTGGTCGGGGTGCTGTGGACAAGTGACTGTTGGACGTTTGGCATTCAACTGGATACCCACGCCACCGCCTTCAGCCTCATAGAAGAGGGGATGGAAAGAATGTCAAAGCCAAACATAGGGAGGAGGACCATGACGTAATACCCCAACTTTCCCCCATATTTACTCATGGTGGACCATCCCCCCCCCCACTTCCCCCAAGGGGATTCAGTGAATGAGGCTGGCGACTTATGGGTCCTCAGGAAGCTAGAAAGTGCTGGAAAGTAGGTTCTGACCTGGAAGGTGCAGGCATAGGGTGTCTGTGGATCTGTGGTCCATCTTGGGGAAAGTGAAGTGGGAGATGACCAGATGAGCCCTGGAGGAAGAGCAGTCTGTGAGGGTGGGAGAGGGTAAGCATTTCACAGGGCGGCATTCGGAGGGGAGGTGCTGGAGGGGAGGCTAGAAAGCAGAAGCCACGCTGAGCACACAACCTCAGAAGCTCCCAGCACCTACAAGGCCACTCACAGCCACGTCTGACTCTAGTTCCCGGGGTCTGGCGCCCTCTTCTGGCTTCTAGAAGCACTGCCTGCACGTGGTGCACAGACACCCACAGGCAAACTACTCATAAAATAAAAATAAATAAATAAAAACAGGGAAGGGGAGAGGACAGGGTGGTTGCTGGAGTAAGGCGATGGACATGTTGGTATTTTAGCCTTTGACTGTTTGGCCCCGCTCTGAGGAACTTGAGACTGTTAGTGTTCCATGTTTTTATACTCGTCCATAAAAAGGGCAGGATTTTCCCATACCTCGAGAACCAGGGATATGAGGCGTCACCTTCTTGGGGATAAGTGGAATGAAGAAAGAGAATCATTGGATCCCTGAAGGAGGACACAGTGGCCATTGCTAAATGTCTCAGATATCAGTGAGATGGGGGCTCAGGAGCAGCCCCACCGGTTAGGAGTTCATTGCTAGTCTTCAGGGAGGGGGGAGCACAAAAGGTAGGTGACCCAGGCCCGGGGGCGGGGGGGCTGTACCTGTGGAGGCCAGAGGGGGGCCTGAGGAGACTTTGGTTGAATTTTCTCTTAGCACAGAAAGATGACAGGGCTGACGAGGTGGCTCAGTGGTTAAGAGCACTTGCCGCTCTGTAGAGGACCTGAGTTCAGTTCCCAGCACCCATGGCAGCTCGCAACCACCTGTAACCTCAGGGATCTGAAACTCTCCTCGGGCCCCTGTACACACCTGCACACACATGTATATATATGCAGAGGCACATACACACATATACACGCATACACACTCATATACACGCACACACACAAACACAAAAAGATTAAAATTTCTGCCTAGAGAGGAGCTTGAACATGGAGAGTCTGGCACAGTGGAGAGAGGCCCCTGTGCACACGGGAGAGAGATACGAGGCAGAGGAGAGGTGGCCACACTCGCCCCGGAGAAAGGCACTCCTGAGATGGAGGGGCGCGGGTGTGCCGTGGAGCATGAGGTCTAACGAGGATGTGGAGTATGGTGAATTCTGTCTTGAAGGCAGGCTAGTGTCTGTAGGAGGAGGCCGGGTCAGCCTGCTCTGAGGGATTTGGGGGAACTCCTGAAGTACTTGGTCGACCCATAGGAAATTGTTGGCGTTTGCTTCTTTTTGGTGTTCCCTCTCTCACACACAAAATGTTGCATTGTCATAAAAGTGTTTTCAAGACGGGGACAATTACCATCAGGTAGATTGAGGGCCTAGTTACAGCTGAGAACCATGGACATATGAGAGGTCTGGACTGTCACGGTCATCATCCAGATGTTACCAGTGGGGATGACGGACAGCAGGCCAGTCAGAGAGTAGGGTTTTGATAGGTCGCTGGGTAGGAAAGGAAACTGGACAAGGTCATCCAGATCTGATGAGATAGACTGTGGGATCTAAAATGCTGGGAGGAGCTAGAGACGTAGCTGCCCACAATGATTGACTGTGCACCTGCCGCGTGTGGGGGCCCTTGGTTTGATCCCACCGTCACCATAACTGAGTAAAGGAAGGGAGACGGTCACACAGGATGACAGCAGACGAGATGCAGCGCAGGGATAGACACACACCCCCAGGGAACAATAGATCTAATGAGATTAGCTTGACCACAGATGCTTCCCACGCGAGTGGCCACAGTCTGGGAGGTTTATGACCCATTGCTCTCTGGAGGCAGTATGGAGCTAGGGGCGCTTCAAGGTCTAGCCAAGGGGGCGGAGAAACACTACTGGGTGGGTGACTGTGGACATCCTTCCCCCGGAAAGTCACAGAATGGGGAGAGGAGGGTGTGGTGGCGACATCCATCCAGGGCCAGAGGCGAACAGATCACTGTGTGAGTGTTCTGGGCTCTGGGAGGACTTCTCTGTATCCATGACCTGGGGGATCATGGCGATGCCCTTCTCCCCTCTGATGTGCCCAGGGATACAGAAACTTTCACGGAAGATGTTACTGTGTTAGAACGGTGTTAAGGAAGGAACCCGTGATTATTACCAAGTGATTTTTGGTTTTAATTTTTTAGCACACTAAAGCATTATTATGTAGACTCAAAGCTTCATTATTTTGTTGGCCAAAGAAAAAGGTCCCTTTGTTTTTCAGATGTCAACAAGTTTTAAGATGTTTCTCGATAACTGGAATATCCAGACAGCTCTTTGGCTCAAAAGGTATGTTCCTCCACGAGTCACCCTTGCGCATGCTCTGGCATCAGGGGCCTGGGGTTGAGCTTGCTGACTTGACGTTCTTCGTTGTCGGGGTGTTGAAGGCCATTGCAGTCTAGGTTTTACCCAAGGTTATGCCATTAGCATCCACCAGAGCAAGGCACTACCCACCACATCGAGTTGCACACATTCCTATGTGGGTGTCACCTCGTCCTGGTTCAGGCTCTGCTGATGTCTGGGGTAGCCAGTGTTCTCTGTAGTTCTTGTGTTCTGGAGATTTGGTATTTAAAAACAAACTCAACCAGATGGTGGTAGCACACACCTTTAATCCCAGCACTCGGAGGCAGAGCCAGGTGGATCTCTGTGAGTCCAAAGCCAGCCTGGTCTGCAGAGTGAGTTCCAGGACAGCTAAGGCTACACAGAGAAACCCTGTCTTGAGAAACCAACAAAACAAAACAAAACAAAACAAAACAAAACAAAACAAAAAAAAGCCCCACATAATAAACCAACCAATCCCCAGGCTTGCCCTGGGTTTCTAGGACTGACTCAACAGCTCTTTATATGTTGGGCACGGGACACACACACGTGTAGGACCAAAAGACCCAGTCCCCACTCCAGAGTCAGAACTCACCGTACCCTTAAAATTGCAGCTGGAGGCTGCGGAGATGGCTCAGCAGTTAAGAGCACTTGCTGCTGGTGCAGAGGATCCGAGTTCAACTCTCACAACCCACAAAGTGGGTCGTAACAATCCCTAACACCAGTCCCAGAGGATCTGATGTCTTTTTCTAACCTTGACAGGCACCAGGCCTGCATGTAGTAGACATATGCGCATGTGGGTAAGACATTTATACACACAACATAAAGGAACCCGAAAAGCGACAACCGCATCTTGCGGCTGTCCCCTGGAATGCACGTTCCGAGAGAAGAGACTAGCCAGAGCACGGAGAACTGGCAGTCAGATGTGTCTCCACATGGGAGCTTGGGTGTCCCAGGCAGAGTAGCACCCGAGATAAGGGGTTGGGAACAGAGTCACAGGAGCGCCGTGACAGTCGAACGCACCCCTTGAGACATACAACATACGCTGTCGCATTGCGCCCCAGCCAGCCTTCTCAGCGGTTCTGTCTTAGAATCCTGTCCCCTGCTTTAAGAAAACTAACTGGCACATAGACTCCCAGATACTGGAAGTGATCATTTCAGTAATTACGTATACCGGTGAAGAGATAAGAACAAAGTTTCTGCTCGTAAGTGTGACGCTCAGTGACCGAGCTAGTCCCAGGAGAGATGCTGTTTGTTTTCCCGGCTTCCCTAACCCTGTAGGTCAGACAAGGACCCTGTGGGCTTTGTGAACTCAGGTCTGCTCACTCCTCTTGGCTCCCCGTGGTTTCTAGGGTGTGTTATGAACGAGCGACCTTCAGTCCGACGACCCAGACGTTCTTTCTCTCCGCCATTTGGCACGGGGTCTACCCGGGATACTATCTGACGTTCCTGACAGGAGTATTGATGACGTTAGCAGCGCGGGCTGTGAGTATCCACGTTTTATTTTATAATCCAGTGAGCGAATCTCTGCTTCTTTGGCTGTGATCAACATCATCTGCCCAGGAGAGCTTAGGCATGTGACTGTGCTTGGAAACAAGTGTTCGCCTAGTGCCAGCCTCGACACTAACTACAGACCAGGAGAAGCCATGCACCTGGCATGTGGGAAGTACTTGAAACATGTTATGTGTCTTACGGCGTTTTCTGCCCGAGAGAGAAAAGAAAGATGATTACAGTGGGTAGATCTGAGCCAGATGGCGGCGCACACCTTTAATCCCATCACTCAGCGGGCAGAGGCAGACGGATCTCTGTGAGTTCGAGGGCAGCCTGGGCTACAGAGCGAGATCCAGGACAGCCAAGGCTGTTAAACAGTGAAACCCTGTGTTGAGAAACCAAAAACAAACAAGCAGCTACCCCCCACAAAACAACAAACAAACAAAAAGAATGGGTAGGTCTGTTCTTCACAAACATTTGTTTCCTGCGGGCTGTAGCCCTTGGGTCCTCTCTCAGTTGAGAGTGGAGTTTGACCACTCCCAGAGAAGGGGATGGGCGGTTCCCAGTGGGAGATGCTGTGGCTGCGGTACCATCCTGTAGAGTATTTGCTGGGGGAACCTGGAACAGTTTGGGGAAACAGTTGAGATAGCTTCCTACTACGGGAGAGGAAAGGAGGATAAATTGGTGTATTTGAAAGTCAACTAGAGGGAAGTCATGTGTCAAGAAGTACGTTTTAACAAGCTCATTATAATGCCTTGTGGGTAAAGGAGTTTCATCTAACAGGCTCGCCGATCCTCATTTCAATATACCTGAGGGAATGGCAAGAAATAGTAACACAGGGCTGTGCCTTCTGGTAGTCAGTGCCAACTAGAGGGAGTGGGGAAAAGATTGTGTCTTAGGCATGGGCATGGCATTAGAAAAGCTCAAAAGCCAAGGTGAGCTTGGGAGAGGGCAGGTCAGTGCAGTTAAAGCAGAGCGTTCCTGTCTGTGACCAGCGGGTAGTTCCCGATAGGCGAATGGAAGGAAGGAGGCAGGCGCTGCTGAAGGGCCTGAGCATCAGCAGAGGCTGGTCCTGCTCTGTCCCTAGCATCAGGGAGTCAGGGGACGTGGGGCTTCTGTTTTGTTTTTTGGGGTGCTTAGGGCCTCACAATATAGAGGAGCACCCTAGCACCGAGCTACACCCCCAGCCAGCTAAGATTTTGGAACTCGGGGTGGCATGGTGTGGTCATGCTGGAGGGAACGGGTTCTTTGGTAATAGACCGAACGGATTAGAGAGAGCCAGGCAAGAGGCCCTAAGTGCCAGGACTGGGTTCTAGGCACCGAGAATCGTAACCAGTCACTACCTCAGTTCTGAGGAACCCGCGTGGCATCTTTATAACCAAGGCCAGGCTTCCCCTGTGGAAATGTTATGACACTCAAGACATAAAAGAAAGAAAAAAAAAAGAAACCACAAAACATGAGGCATCTGGTAGAAATGGGAAATCTTGTCTGATTAAGTTTGTACCGTTCAAAACTGCAGCATATGACTGTTTTCAACTGGGCATGTGGCTGAGTATGCTTGCCCAGAATGCACAAGTCTCTAACCCCAAAACACACACACACACACACACACACACACACACACACACACACACCTTTCTGAGAGGCCCTCCCAGCTCCCCTCAGTGGGTGGTGTGTGTGGCCTCTGTTTCCGGGTCTGCTGTCTGACCAGAACTGAGGTCAGAGATCCTTCTCGTCTTCCACACACTCGGAGGCGAAGCCAGAGTAGAGCTGCCTCGTTCCCGAGTGAAGGAGCAACCGGAGACCCGGTGAAGGCGTGCGCAGTCCCTGATTTACCCAGCACTACTTAAAGAGCTCTGTTGGTGTCCATTGCTCGCTCTCTTGGGAAGCTTCATTTTAAACAACTTCACACCCACAGAAAAGCTACAGAGAGCGCCCCCAGGCCCTCTGCACAGTCCACCGTTTGCTGGCTCCTTTCCCCCACCAATACACACAGTAGTACTGTTGTTGGGACCAGCGTGTCCTGGTGGTGGTGGCGGCGGCGGCGGCGGCGGCGGCGGCGGCGGCGGCGGCGGCGGCGGTTCAAACCCGGGCAGCAGTGTGAGAGCACGTTACTCTACGGGCTTGAAAAAGTCGCCGTCACCAGTGGGTGTTGTATATAGTGTTAAATCTAAAGACGGAGCGAATGTTCTTGTGTCTTTTTTCCTTCCAGGTGCGAAGTAACTTCAGACATTATTTCACTGAACCCCCTCAGCTGAAGCTGTTCTATGACATCCTCACGTGGGCCGCGACACAGATAACCATCAGCTACACGGTTGTCCCCTTCGTGCTTCTGTCTATAAAACCGTCGTTCACGTTTTACAGGTGAGCGTCCCTCTTCGGCCGGCGGGACGGGTAGCCGTGTTCCCAAAGGAAGTTCCGTGCTCATTGAATAAGAGAAATTGTCTTAGTTACACTTTCTGTTGTTGGGACAAAACACCATAACCAAAAGCAAGCTGGGGAGGAGAGGGTTTATTTGGGTTACGTTTCCACAGCACTGTTCATCTTTGAAGGGACCTGGAGGCAGGAGCTGATGCAGAGGCCATGGAGGGGCGCTGCTTACTGGCTTGCTCCCATGGCTTGCTCAGCCTGCTTTTCTTATAGAACCCAGGACCACCAGTCCAGGGATGGCACCACCCACCATGGGCTGGGCCCTCCCCTACTGATCAGTAATTGAGAAAATGTCTTACAGCTGGATCTCGTGGAGGCATTCCCTCAACCGAATGGCTTCCTTCTTCTCGGAGGACTCTAGCTCGTGTCAAGTTGACACAAAACCAGCCAGCACAGACATAGGAAGATAATAATACGGCAGCCTCATTTCTGCCATTAAGTATATTATCAATTACTTCTTAGTCCTAAACCAAGCAGTCCCAGGTTCCTTCATGGGGCAGCTCATCCCTCAGTGGCACCAGAAGAGGAACCCGCTCCCAGCTCCAGAAGACTTAGCTGTCACCTGAGTGTCCAGAAAATGGCCAGAAGAGGAAAAGGGGGCATGCTTTATCAATTATCAATCAACTGGATTTTCCAGTCACAGTATTTTCACTTCCCGCCTCTACCTCCTCACTCTTCTCCACGTGGCTGACAGCTGAGATCCTCTGTATTTCGGAAGTCGCTGTCTGGAAGTCCATGTTTTTCCTTAGCCTTCCACCTCCTCTCCCTGCCCCACCAGCGTCCACTTCTCCCATGTCAATGAGATCTTTGCAATCAGAAGCTTGATTCTCTCCATTTCTTCATTTCTGTGGGATTCCGTGCCTTGGCACAAGGGTTTGTGGTCGAAGAATTAGACTCAGACTTTAGGATCCAGCTTGATAGTCACATAGGAAAGACAAATATTGGTCAAAGTGTCCATTTTAACAAAGTTGATTCCCGTTAAAATGTGTTGGGCTGATGGTTGGGTTGTCTGTCCCATTTTTTTTTTTTCTTCAGTCACTTTGAACTTTCAACTTTGGAAGCAGTTAAGGTCCCATCAGACTCAGAGTCGATTTAGGGACTGATTTTCTGGTGATTTCTAAGATATGACCTGTATTTACGGAAGTCACCGTCACACAGTGGTTGTTACTTCCTGCTCACGTTGTTTTGGTCTTTTAACTGAGTGACAGTGGGTTTGGGGTAGGCCAAGCAGTGACTGGACTCGACCCGTGGCTGTCCAGTGTTCTCTGGTAACCCCACATGTAATTTTGTGGCTACGTTCAGACCGATGCCTCTGTTAATAAACACCTTTCTGTTTTGTCCCGTGTAGCCTCATGACCCTGACAGAACACCGAATGTATCTAGGTCTATACTCCGGAGCTGGGGGCGAGGCTGCAATTATCCACACCCCCGGCGTCAGGGCCCTGGGGGTTGGCAAAGGTGTGGCTGGTAAACCGTCTCCCTTCCCTTTCAGCTCCTGGTATTACAGCCTTCACATCTGCAGCATCTTAGTGCTGCTCCTGCTGCCTGTGAAGAAGTCTCAAAGAGGAAGGAGCACCCAGGAAAACGTTCAGCTCTCGTGGGCCAAAAAGTTTGACGAAGGAGAAAATTCTCTGGGACAGAACAGCTTTGCCACGACAAACAATGTTTGCAATCAGAACCGAGACACTGCCTCTAGACACTCGTCACTGACGCAGTGACTGGGAGAGCGCGGGATGGCGGTTTCCCGTCTGTGAACAGAAAAACCAGTCTCGACGCCTTTCCAGTGACTAACTGGGTGGAAATGGGACAGTCTCAGTTAGGGGATTTCCTGTACACCAGATTGGAAATGGAATGAAATAACCCTCCCCATGCCATGTTCCTGTGGGTCACGCCTTATACAAAATCTTTCCGTATTTCAATAGGGCACTCTGACCTCAGCATATGCCCTCAAGGTCATATGTGTGCCCTGTTGCTGAATGTACATTGCGTATCCCAAGGCACTGAAGAGGTGGAAAAATGATCATGTCAATCTGGATGATTGACAGGTTAACTTTTTCCAAATGAATGTCTTGCCTTAAACCTCCTGTTTCCTAAAATGTTCCTGGATGGTATTTTCCACTGAGGAGACGATTTCAATAATCTGATGTGGTGTGCGGCAGAGTGGGATCGAGGAGGATTTTTAAACCGGATATTTAAGATTGTGGGTACTTGAAAAATGCAATAAACATCTCAGTATTTGAAGGGTTTTCTTAAGGTAGCTCAGAGGGCTGCACACATGTAGAAGAGTCACAGTCAGGGCTGTTAAATTCCAGGTAGCTCGTTTTGCTGGGAGCTTAATTACCTGGTGTCAGTTAGGAGGCCCTTTCAGGAGGACTGTCTTAAACATAATTAAAGGTTGGCAATGTGATATTTTAGGCTTATTTTCTTAAGGAAAAAAAAAACAACTAAGAGGGCAGATGAGGTGAGCAGGGCCAGAATGCAGAAAGCACCGTGTGGTCCGCAGCCAGAGGCAGAGGGCTCCCCCTTCCGTGTCCAGGATCAGTGTGATTGTGCGGGACACAGAAGTTCAATACGCTGATAATACTGTGGACTTTCTGAAGAAATTTCTCGAGCATAAATTACATAGAACTAGAGGAGGTTATAAGAGGAACAGTAGTAGGTTATTTGAAGATTTTGAAGGAAATCTCTAGGAATTAAGGGTATTGTCTGGTTCATTGGTTTCTTGTCCCTGTCATGTCTGTCGCTATTTGGGGGAAAGTTTTAGGGAAAAGAAAACTTAGTTGCTGAGTCTAAGTGACACTTTTTTAAATTAATAAATTAGTTTCTACATTCTTTAACTTCACGCATTAAAATTCTTCCGTTAAACTCTTGTGAAAATGGGTGGTAGAGTCTATCAAAACAAATACGTGTCTTCCTCTTTGGGCCGCTCTTGCCTTGAGTGACTGGGTGTGTCCCTGATCCAGCAGCAGCGTGCTGTGGGTACCGCAGCTGTAAGCACGTAGGCAAGGGGTGGATTTGAGGCCGTGGAACTGAGCCATGGACTGACTGCAGCTTCTGCCTTGTGAGAGAGAAAGGCTGGGCTTTTGAGCCTCTCTGTTATTTAACCAATCTCTTTATGAAATTTGTTTTGGTTTTGCCTTACATTTTCAAATGAAATGCACATTGTCAGTCTACGATGAGGTTTTTGTTTTTTGGGTTTTTTTTTTTTTTTTGGTCACTAATACACTTGGGAGTGAAGTTAAGGAGGAACCGGCAGTGGTGGGGTAGTTTAAGATTTCAGTGGAAGGAAAAGGTGCAGCGGCCAGTGTGGCGTTCTAGGACTTGAGAAGTATGTGTGGCACCTTCGCCTTTCCGAAGGCAGGTTGTTTGCCTCTGACGAGGAGAGTCCTCCCCCTGCCTCTCCCAGGGAAGGGGCTGGTAAATACTTTTTCATAGTTTTCCGAGGTGGATGTAGAATTCAAGAGGAAAGAAGAGTGTTTATGGAGGGTACCTGCCCCCAAATGTCTCTGTGATTTCGTGAATACCGTGGAGAATCCAGTCACTATTAAAGACAACCCTCGGCATTTCGTAAGGGAAGGCTGGAGAGCCGGTAGAAACTGCTGAGGACTTGCTGGGTCTACCCAGAACTTACACACAACCCCCATCTATTTCTGTTACCCAAACACATTTTATTTCTAGGCCTGTACACTCGAGTGGCTGTTCCTTGTTTCCTCTCAAAGAATTTATAATCACAGTGCTATCATCCAAAAAAGCAAGACAATAATCATTGTTCCAGTTCCTGGAAGAGGATGCACGGAACATCCAATCTGACCAATTTCTTTTTTTCATTCTTCTACAGCTATTCGTTATATTTATGAGATCATTTTTTTAAAAAAATTTTAGATGGCTATCTTCTACTTTGGAGAAATAATCCTGATTATGCAATCTAAAAGAAAATAAATCAAATTCTCAATTTTTCTCAAAAAATCATGTTCTAGAAAATGAACGTCTGGTTGGGATGTTGTAAAGATTATTTCGCCTCTTATTTAGAAGGAGTTAGAGTAATGTTTGTGCTACTGTTGAGTGTGAAGGAGGTCATTATAACATGTGCTTGGTGTGTTTAACCGACAGAACAGGTTTCAGTGTGTGTTCATATGATCTTTCCACCCCTCCAGTGTCATGACGTCACTCCAGAGAGGGTCTGTCCACATCGTATTTATACTTCTGTTTGCTTATATACTACTCAGGGAAAATAGAACAAAAATATTCTTCCCTCGGTTTCATTTTCTTGAAACAATAATTGTTAATTGGATGCGTCTCAGCTCACTGTTTTTAAAACAACGCATTTTAATTAGAACTCAGAGTGACTAGGGAAGCTTGCTTAGCTTCTGGAGTACCTAAAGTTGGGGAGAAGGCTCTCTGGGCTTCAGGGGTGCCCGATCACTGTGTCTTAGCATGCTGGTCCCTACCATGGATGACATCCATACGGGCATTTCCACACATGCCACTTTTGAAGTTGCCATCTAGAAAGTGCTGACAGCTTCCTTGGCCTGGCTGGTCCGTCTGGCTCTTGCCTAGGGAGGCCCGCCCCTCACCCCCCATCCTGTAGGGTGAAAGGCAAAGGGAGGGTAGGTTCACAAAGGGAGCTGGTCACTGTCGGCTGCTTTTTATTACTGGAGCTTAAGGTGCTGACTTAAAAAAATGGTTGTCTAGCAACAGGAAGAATACCTTTTAATCCATTAGCTCAGAACGGGTAGCGACAGGCCGTTTCCCCTCTGCTTCCTCTGGTTTCTGTTTCTGCTGGGTAAAACTGGAGAGGATTTATGCCATTAAAGACTCCCCATAGACTGCTGATTTTGATTACCAGCGTGTATCTCCTCAGCAATTATTTCATTCAGAGAATCAACTTATTCTGTATTTTAAATGACAGGAAGCAATTTTAAATTGCCATCAAGATAACCGTAAAGGTTTTTACTTTTGAAGTAAAAGGTTTTACTTTTGAAGACTAGATTAAACATTTAGGACAAATGCTTTTCCGGTTTAAAACCCGTACGTTCTCAGTGTTCAACTTGTATATTCATGAGCACATCTGGACAGTCGTACTGATCAGATGTTCATAAGTATCACTCATTGATTCTAAGAGTTCTAAATGATACCTGACACAGACATTCTTGAGAGGAAAGGCTCATTTATAGTATTTGCTGCTGCTGTGGCCACTGAGGATGGGCTCAAATGCATAGTTATAAACCAGTGTTTGGAGGGGTTTCAAATGCATAGTTATAAACCAGTGTTTGGAAGGGTTTCACATGCATAGTTATAATCCAGTGTTTGGAGGGGTTTCAAATGCAGAGTTATAAACCAGTGTTTGGAAGGGTTTCACATGCATAGTTATAATCCAGTGTTTGGAAGGGTTTCATTTAGGCATTAATAGTCTACCCTGGCTGAAATTTAACACACCCAGTTTACCCTAGGTGCAGAATTCCAGCTTACACTGTGACTGTAGTCCTACCTGCCCTGAGGACCATAGATACTCGTTACACTCCACTAGTCGCGTCTGAGGAATGGCTGATCATTTATACACTTGCCTCTGATGCTTAATCTCTGGCTTCCCACTGCCCTTGGAAAGGTGAGTTTGTCTCAGAGAGGCCTCTGAATGCGGAAGGAAGGGATTTGCCTGGAAAAACAAATCCACTCTGAATTTTGAGTCTGATGGATCAGAACATGGCAGTTCTCTACAGTGATTTTTCTGTAACACCGGGTAGTCAAGTCTATTTATAGCGACTCTCCTTCTGGAAGAAAATTTCAAACGACATTTTCCACGTTGATATTTTGTAGGATTGCTCTTCTAATCCACGACTTAAGCTGCTTTCTGAGGCTCTTGTTGTACAGCGTGCAGCCAATGACATTTTAATTAGTAGGCTGCTTAATACTGTTTTGTATGTTTTCAGATAATAATTTATTTTAATAGGTTTTTAACACAATGCAAACTCCAGTGAAGAGCTGACAAGAAGCTCCATAGGTCATTGATCGGGGAAACTTTGTCCAACAGACCCTAACGACACATTTATACGCCAGCTAATCTGTCTTGCCTTTAAAACTGGTGGCAACTACTCTTAATGCCATTTTTATAAAGCAGGGGACAGCCTGTCTGTCCTACCACGCTTCAAAGACCTATGTGCGACCACTGTCCGAAGCTGATCCAGTGAGGCCTAGCCAGACCCAGCTGAGTTTCCTCCTCTTTTGCTGCTGTGACCGGCAGCGGCAAATAATGTGAAGCCAAAAGTTACAGAGGGAGGGAAGTGAGATGACTGAGAATTTCTCGGGCGCACGCCCAGCGTGGAAGCCGCTGCAGCTCCCCGCGCAGGTCTGTTTGGGGTTAACCTCTCTGAGAGACTGGTTTGTTAACGGTCTTCTCCGTCCTCTCTTTGGGGGGGAGGACACGTGCAGAGTGACTGACAGACTTTTAAAAGTGTGTCTCTTTCCCCATTTTCAACGTCTTTGGTTCTGTGTCCGCCCACCTGTCGGTGAAGCCCATTCGCTGCTGACTTGGTCGCACATACCAAGGCTCCTGTGTTGACTGCAAACACAGTCTCGTCTGTCTTCTGTCACTTTTATGTACGTGATGGCACCCCCACACCAGAAGGAGCGTCACACGAGGTAACAGGAATGAAAGGGACACGGATTCCTGTGACGTGGAAGTCCCATCGTGTCAGGGTGAAGGTGCCTGGCTTCAAATCTGCCTTCCCTTCCGGCCGACCCGAGAGGCGCCTCAGCTCCCACAGCCAGTGCCCACAGCCAGTGCTCACAGCCAGTGCTCACCCTACTTCCCCCTCTTGTCCCAGGTGGAGAAGAACAGCGTGTGGTGGTCTGTGCTTTTCCTTTGTTTTTATTATTCCGAGATATTTTTTTAAAGAGGCGTTATTTTTCATTCGATCCACAAACCAGTCCCCATTGCACGGTGAATCGAAGCCACCACTGTGTGGGCTGACCTGCGCCGGGATGACTCATGGCCGTTCTCGTTAGTCCGTGTCCTCAGAGCTGCACGGTGGCTTATTGCTGGCTTTTAAAGGTGTTTTTAACTTACATGTCTTTTTTTTCCCCCCTCTTATCTGTGTGTCTTTAAAACTGATTAAACAGTAGTTTAAAAGAACCTGTGTATATGTTTGCTTATTTCAGAGGTAAAATCCGGTCCATGGGTAGATGAACCCAGTGCCCAATTCCATGAGCAAATGCTTTGGGTCATTGATTCTTCAATTGTTTAATCGTTACTTCAGTTTAGTTTTTATTATGTGTAGGGAGGCACGTGGGCCATGGTGCTTGCATGGCCAAAGTGGGTTGTGGCCATTGATCTTGGGTCTTCAGGCTTTCTCTCTGAGCCATCTCGCTGGCCCTCAAGTGTTAAAAACACTGCCGTCTGTACTTTGGACGGTAACTGAAACCACTCTTAAGTTGGTGGGTAGATCTGTAGCCGACAAGAGACTACTCATCACAGAAGCATCCGTTCTCCTATTTGAGAGGAAGAGCTGACTCCAGGACACTGGCTGCCTCCCCCACCCCAACCCCCATCCCCATGGTCCTGACTCCGTTTTTGCTTTAGAGATTCTGTTGAGTTCTCACTGGATATGCAGTTTCTCTGTCACAGTGACCTGTGGGACCTTCAGTGTGTTCTTGAAGTCTTTTCTTGATCCCACTGCGAAGAACTGTGGGGGAAATACGTGAACTTTTATTAAAAAAGATCATTTTATGTGTGTGGTGTGTTGCCGGCATGTGTGTCTGCACCCCATGCTTGCCTGGTGCCACAGGAGCTAGAAGGTGGCACTGGATTCCATGCACCTAGGGTTACAGACGGTAGTGAGCTGCCGTATGGGTGCTGGGGATCAGACCCAGGTCTTCTGGAAGAGTGACCTTTGCTCTTAATTGCTGAGCCATCTCTCTAGTCCTGTTACATTAACTTCAATTGTTAATTTGAGATGCTGGGTTGACCAGATAATCATTATTCCTCCTCTGTGGAACACCTGAGAATAGCAATGTGCCGTCACCCATCACCCACCCCCATGCCCCCACTTAGTTACCTCCCAGAGTGTGTATGGAAGTGCCTTGGAAGGCCATGCTTCAGTTAGGCGAAGAGTAAAAGTGGTTTGTATACAGAGTTGCTGTCCAAGAGCTGGGCCAGGGAGACCAGATCGCTTCGCCATAATAAGCCTTCCTCAAATTGCTCTTGGATGAGCGATGGTGTGTAGCATCGTGAGTGCAGCCTTAGAGCCCTACCCCCACCCCTGCACCCCCACCTCTGCACCCCCACCCTCAGCACAGAGTGCCTGTGCATCGGGGGAAGGAGGCAGAGCTGGGGGAGTGTGGGTACCTCCAGAAG